GGCTGGAGGAGTTCATGGAGTACCTCTCGGAGTCGCTGGAGCCCCAGTCCCCCTTCGACCTCCTCGAGCCCCCCACCATGGTCGGCTTCCTCAAGCTCTCCAAGCCCTGCTGCTATATCTTCCCGGGCGGGAGAGGGGACTCGGCGTTCTTTGCCGTCAACGGCTTCAACGTTCTGGTCAACGGAGGCTCCAACCCCAAGTCATCCTTCTGGAAACTGGTCCGGCACCTGGACCGCATCGACTCCATCCTGGTGACGCATGCGGGTACGGACAGCCTGCCCGGCGTCAACAGCTTGCTGCAGAGGAAGCTGGCCGAGCTGGAGGAGGATCCGTCCCAGGGATCGCAGGGCAACGGGGACTGGGCGAAGAACCTCATCTCCCCGGAGCTGGGCGTTGTCTTCCTCAACGTCTCCGAGAAGCTGAAGGACATCGAGGGTAACTCCCGTGTGCTGAAGAGCTGCGACGAGGCCGCCCTGACCTTGCACTACCTGGAGAAGCTGGGCATCCATCCCAACCCACTGGCCCGGGACAGCGGACCCCGCGCAGAGCCCACCGTCCTCTTCCAGAAGATGGGAGTGGGTCGGTTGGACATGTACGTCCTGAACCCCGTGAAAGGCACCAAGGAGCTGGAGTTTCTCCTGCAGCAATGGTCGGGCAACAGCTACCCCAGGGAGCAGGACTTGCCCCTGCAGTGCCTGACCTCGGTCTGCGCCCTGCTCGTCTGGCACCCCGTCAGCCCCTCCGAGAAGATCATCCGCGTCCTCTTCCCCGGCTGCACCCCCCAGGGCCGCATCCTGGAGGGGCTGGAGAAGGTGAAGCACCTGGAGTTCCTCAAGCACCCCGTGGTCACCAAGAGCGATGCCACGGGCGCCCCAACGTGAGAAGCCGCTCAAGCAGAGGAGGGCAGAGAGCAAGGCGAGCCTGAAGTCGGCTTCCAAGCTCAGCTTGGTGGATGCCGGGGCAGCAGTGCCGAAGGAGAAGGCTCCGAAGGTGGAGAGGAAGGAGGTGAAGGCAGGGACCAAGGAGAAGCCAAAATCCCTGGGGGAGACGCCCAGAGCGGGGTCGGAAGAGGAGAAATTTTTTGGCTGGGCTCGGCGGTGGAGAAGCCGAAGGCGGACGCAAAGCCGAAGCTGAGCAAGGAGAAGGTGGTGCCCAAGAAGGAGCCCGTTCCCCGGAAAGAGGAGAAGAAGCCACTGAAGAAGGACGAGGGAGCCGAGGGGAAGGGGGAGGCCAAGAAGGAGGTGAAGGCGGTGAAGAAGGAGGTGAAGGCTGAGACGCTGCGGAAGGACGTGAAGGAGAGCAAGGCAGAGGCCAAGGCTCCGGCCAAGACCCCGGCCCGGAAAACGCCGGTG